AATCCCGGGCTGGTCGCGGCATGGTCCCGGCCAATGCCCTTGCTTTTTCGTAGATTTTGTCACGTTTTCTGTTGGTTTATGAGATTTTTAAAGGCTTTTCTGGCATTTTCCTAGGAATGCTCTAGGCTTTGTCTTTTTGGGTACCTGCTTTGGTGGTGCTGGGTTGGGTCTGCACTCTTAAGGCTAAGGCTTAAGGCTAAGGCTAACATAGAGCAAGGCTAGCGCTAAGGTTCTATCCCTTGCGGGTCGGCGGCTGCAGGCGGTAGCCTGGTAATATACCTAATTCTATTCTAGCTCTAGTCTATTTAGTTTAAGAAAACACATGCCACAAAACCCCGTGTTTTACAGTATTTTTTGCCCTGGGAGTGCTGGGAACAAGACTAAAACTCTTTTTTTGAAGTAAATAGTTAGATTTTGATTATTTACAGTAATCACTGGAAATAATATAGATATATTAAAGCTGTTTTATGTACAAGCTTCTAATTCAAGAGCTTCCCTCTAGATCTTTGCGGATGATCATTTCTACAATAAAAATATATAAAAGCTTTCATTTCAAAAGCTTTTCTCTGGATCTCTGGAAGTGATCATGTCAATTTAAACTTGATATATATATATATATCAATAAATGTGTTGTTCTTTCAAGAGCTTTCATTTCATGAAAACACACATATATGGGATATCTACTTTCCCAGAGATCCAGAGGAAAACTTTGAAAATGCAAGCTCTTACCCGCAGAAATCTAGAATAAAGCTTTTAACATACAAAGTTTCTATATAGTTGTTGGAATCTAAAAACAATTTTTGCAGAGATCTATAGAGAATCTTGTGTAACATAAACGCGTTTATATAAAAATCTTACCAAATCTAAACATAATTATATGCAACGATCTAGAGACACTTTTATGGCCTGCTTCTTTCCTAACTATTTTGTTCAAAGCCATCTGAATGACTGCTTGCTGCTTCCAAAACAATAAAATGACCCTGATTCAGGAATACAGAATATGTTTGTTCATATAGAGAGAGCAGGAATAGATTATATAATATATATATGTGTGTATATATGGAGAGGGGCTACCACTGAAGCATTTACCTAAAATTTTGGGAAAACCAACACCCAGGCCCCATGTTAGAGTAGAGTGGTATCTTCCGCCCTGGAGTGAAAAGAAGCATCTTTGCATATCTTGAGCATCAAATGATACCAACCACTTAAAAAATATAACAATTAAAACACTGCACTCTCACAGTCCCCCGCTCTCAGTGCGTATTTTATGTGTTTTTTGCTGCCTACTTCCATCTGTGCGCTATAAACTTCCCACTGTGGCCTGCATTCATGCTATGTGTCTGTGAAAGCTGCCTCAATGTCCTTTGCACTGGAAAACAAACACAAACAGTCTCGAGAAAATATAGAGAAAACCAATAACAACCTAGGAAAAACCAAAAAACCTTGGGAAAACAAAAAAAGAACACAAAACCAACAATTCTCAGAGACTCTTGGCTGGACACCCCCCTTTCCTCAAGACTTCCCCAGAATTGTTTGTTTTCTTTAGTTTTTTTTGTTTTAACTATTTTTTTTGTTTTTTCAATGTTTTTGGCACCCCCTAGATCCAAATATTGCCTTGCCTTGCCTGCTGCCATAAAGGATATTCAGAAAATCTTGGCTGGGAACCCACCCTCTCCAGAGAGTCTGAAAATATCGATTTTTCTTGATTTTTCAATGTTTTTGGCACCACTCTAGATCCAAATATTGCTTTGCCTTGCCTGCTGCCACCCTGGGAGTGCAGTTTCTGTAGTAAACCCTAGGCCTAAGAACAAATGAAACATAGCAAAAGCACTGCACTCTCAGACCCTGCCGTTCTGTAAATTTACCTGGTTTTCACTTTGGAATAATGTCAACCTAGGATTAGGGAACCCCCCCCTATTAGTCTACCCAGCGTTCAGGCCCCAATAATAAACTAATTTGAACTACTAATTTCCACAATCACCACCCTCTAATAATTTTTTTCTTGGCTGAAACCCACCCCTATTAGTCAACCCCCTGTCCTGCCAGGAAAAATATAATTATTCAAATATATATGTGTTTAATTAGTTTTATTCTTTTTTCCTTTTCAATATCTTTTGGTCCATGGTGAAACTGATCTGTGGAAAGGGAATTAGTATTTGGGCTCTCATGGATCTCATCATTCCATCCCATCTCATCTCCTCCTCCTGTCATCATCAGGTCATCCCCACTATTAGGGGGATGTGATCTCCAAAACCTCCAATCTCAGACCTTGTTGACCTTGTTGACCTTCTAGGGGGGGGGGGCCCGTTGATTAATCCGACGTTGACATTATACAAACTATGGTCTTCACTGTATGTGAAGGAACCGCGCAAGTGTCGAGTTTCGCCCACACTACCCAACCTCTACCGGCAACCAAGGCTCCGTTGGAGCGTTCGTGCGAGTGGATCCACAAGGCGCGTCCGCGGGCGCCGTCGACCGCGCCGCGGGCGCGGTCGGCCCACGGCAGCGCGCCGTGCGTCTCTGCGACGAGCTGGCGGCGCTGCACGTCGGTGGTGGCCAAGGTGTTCGCCACGAAGGGGCCCAGCAAGGGCATGGCCAATCTGCGGCATCGGGGGAAATCGGGGATGAAGGGAACTTTGAAGGGATCAAACCGTTTCAATATCACCCAAACGACCAGCCAAGATGAGGGCCCCCTTCTAGCAAAAGGTTCCAGCACAAAAATAAAGCATTGCCTTTTTGGCTTTTTATTTGCACTCCCTCTTTAGCGGGAGATATTTTAAAGTTTTGGTACCCCATCACGCAACCTACGCCCTGATCTCAAAATCATTTTGCTGGACTTTTGCACCTCTTTGGTAACATTGTTTATATTCTCAGGTCACGTCAACCCCCAGGATTTCAACATGAGGGGGATTTAATGATGCTCATTTCTTAGATCTTGTTGGACTGCATCGTCATCTACTCAAACGCATGCAATAGCCACCGGGTCATCACTGGTGCTCATCGGTGGAATCCTTTGATTAATACAGTAAATATTACTTATGTTCCTCTATTTTCAATCAATAAGAACTGAGATGAACTAAGTTAGACGGTTAGACCGTCCTGATATCGGGCCGCGATCGAGACATACCAAAATCCACCGGCGAGACTAATCCTGCACCAGCGCAAAGCCTTTCGAGCAGGATTTATGCAAAAAAGAAAACGTCAAATGTTACGCACCCCAGGCCAAGGGACCCACTGCATTGAAGGGATTTGAAGGGGCTTGGTGGTTGAGCCACACCTTTCCAAGCTTCCAAGCTTCCGGCAACAGGCTTCCGAGCGGCCGCCCTCCCACTTCCATCCTGTTCCCACCAACTCAGAACCTCCTTGTTCGGTGAGGATGCCGAACAAGGAACAACGAAACACACTGTTCATCTTCCAAGCCACTCCAGTGCGCGGTTCATGGCGGCGTTGTTTGGTTCACCTCGCTCCACTCCGCCCCAAAAAGCTCACCAGCTTCGCTCACCAGCTTCGCTCACCGCTGGGCCATCACTCCATGGCGAGAAAGTGGAAGGGGCCGAGGCAGGATTTTCTGGTTGGGGGCGGGGGATCCGTTGTCTGCATTTATTGCATGTTGAGCCATCTCCAATCGCAGATGGTCTTCATCCATCTCCAATCGCATTCAATAAGGCCGTGCCTTAAACCGACGGCTGCCAACCTGCTGATCCCTTTGAAAAGCAATTCAGCATTGCTTTGGAACACACAACCCCAGCCAAGTGGACCAGCTGCAACCTCAAGCCAATCAATGTTGTTTTAAGGTTTCAATCAGCTGCATTTTGTCTTGCCAGGAACGCCATATTGTCTGTGAATGTCTGTCACAACCCCACTTCTGAACGCCAATCAGCTCGTTCTGATGCTCCTAAACAACTCTGGATGCTCCATCCCTCCCGACCCGACCAGCGTCGGACATGTTCTGATAAGACAAGTCCATCCAGTTCGCCACGAAGTCCTCAGGCACATCGTTCGCACCAAACGTTGGCTGAACATCCGTGTGGCACAACCAAAGGTTGGCCCAGCTCAGCTAGGTGTTCAGCAAGCTAACTTCCAAGGAACGCTTCGGGTGTGTATATATATATATGTATGTCTATGTCTATACCTGGATCTTCCAACGACCAAAAAATTCTGGTAGTTTTGGTTATTGACCCGGTTTTCCGTGCAAACGCCCGCAAATCAGCGCAACCGACAAAACGACCGCAAATTAGCACAAAACGCGCGCAAAAAACCAGCAAACAACCACAAAAATCCGCAAAATAACGCAAAACAAACAAAACGACCAAAACGACCATAAAACCAAAACAACCATAATTGTTTGGTAGTTGGAAGGTCCAGGTATACATATATCATATATGTGTGCCTTAGCTCAGAAAATAGACTTCATTATAACATCATTCTATCAGCATTCTTTAAGTGTGCAAAAGCTTTGGCAGCTTTGGCAAAGAGTTCCCCATGCCAAGACGTAAAACATACAATTACAAACACATGCTAAAATAACTTTATCACAGGTTTGCAATAATAAACGTAGCACACTCCTCTACAATAATGAACCTGCTTTTCTAGTAGGTTGCAATAATAAACTGTCATGATGCTAAGGTCTGAGTAATTTAGTATTACGACACACAATTTCTTTGCCGCATATTTTCACTAGGGGGTAAATTATTGCAATGCGAATAATGTGAACATTATACAGTTACAAAATGTATATATATATATAAAAGTTATATAATTAATGCTATAATATGCTATATATATTATCATATATGTCATGTGTGTGTCTACTTCCTCGATGTAGGTTTTGGGAAACTGCTGACAAAATCTAGCAAAGGCATGTGCTGTGCCATGTAGCTCATGCAAGATCATTGATTAATAATAACTAATATTACATAAACATCTTCTAATGGAGGCTTCCAGCTTGGATCTACACAATGGCAGTATCTCCTTGGACCACTCAGCTTCTGAGAGTGCCGTCAGCCAGCCAGTTTGGAGGTGAATATCTTCATGCATCTATGGGGTCAGCCAACCATAAGCCAGTGATCTTCGGACCTCTGGAGCTCTCAGCGACCCACATCGATTGCGGCTCCTGCTCAACCGAGCCGAGCGTCGTGTGCCCACCAGGCGGAGCGAGCTCCGTCGAAACTGAAGCTCTTCATGGAGCCAGTGCCATAAGCTGCCACGTCAAACCTAAAGCGATGCTTTTGGAGATTTCGGGTGATTTGTTGAACCTTTTCGGGTGAAGGCTTTTGGGTGGCTCACCCAAAACAGCACCCCCCAATCCAGAACCAAACAAAACTGTATCTTGTTTCGCGGACACCCAAATCAACATTCAAAAGGATGAAAATCGGAGCTTGGAACATCCTTTTATGGTTGGATCTAAATCTGCCAGATTCTACGAGCAGTGATTTGGGGTGAATCTATTCAGCCGACAACGTAGGAGTTCATGGGCTCATCCTCTCTTCAGGAGATCCTGGAGCCGCCGCAACCCACACCAACAGATTCCAAAAGACATGTCTTCCGGAGGGAGACATGATCATAAATATCATTAAATCTCTTGATCTTCAAAACACACTTGTTGCATTCTTTGGGCGCATCTGTACGGCAGCCACTTCAAACCAGTCACAGGCTGAACAAGTGACGTTGCACATCTTTGCATGATCAAGCGGTCCTTTGTTAAACGGATTGCCCCTCAGAAGCACCCAGGCAAACGAGCCGTAGTCCAAATGATATGATTTCTACGTAGGGGTGTATGATGTAGACTCTGAATATGTCTGAATCAACAAAATGCCCCAAGGAGGTTTGACATGCTGTATGAATCAAAGGGTTTATATAATGACTCGCTTCAGTCCCATCGTTCCTCACTTCGACCCCTCGGGTGATCCCACCGGGCTCCCCCAACCGTCCCTGGGCATTGGCGTCCAGTGCCGAGGCAAAGAAGGGCACGAAGATCGAGGAGGCGGAGGCGTCCGGCGCAAACCAAACCTACGCAGCGGTGGCGGTGTGGTGTAGGAAGGCCCAGGGGTGAGGGGGGGTGGTGAAGGAGGGGTGAAGGGGCTTTTGGCACGTTTAGTTGAAAGAGTTGCTGGATCTGCACAATGTCATGACTTTTCATGACTCAAGGTGCAGTTTTGTATGTGACTTCTGGCAAGGCTTTGCCAAGTGGGGGATGCACCAGAGCGTCTATCGCAGCTCATGAGACGTACTTCGGTGTCCTCGAACATCCCTGAAATAGGCCAGGCTGGCCTGTCACCCAACAAAAGAACCTGCACCACAGCCTGGAGATCATTGAGACCTCTTTGCGTGCCCTTTGCTCAAAGAGTGCGGGTCCCGGTGCCTTTCTGGATGACGGTTGAGAGGTGGGCCGCAGTGTGGACAAGCACGAAGGGAGCACCCGCTTACAGCGGTGGGCAGACCATGAGATTGTCTAATTATGTTTGATTTTCCATATTTCATGGAGGGCACCTGAAGCAAAACTTCCAGTGCATCGGAGAATCGTGTTTTCTTCACTGGACCCGTGTCCTGTCCACGGGGTCAACTGCAACTCGGTGCCCCTGGCCCGTGGCTGCTTGATGCCCGACTGCAACAGCACTGTGTAGGAGGTGCCTCACGCGGCCCAAGGGACTTCAGAGGCAAAGGGGTCATAAAATGACTATGACTATGGTTGATGAGTTTGTAGATTTTTTCCCTGGGGATACGATGTGGGCTGCTAATTCAATTTCAAGTTGGTTTTATATTGTTTTATCTGTTTGTTGTATGGGACTCTGATATGGCACCTTCTCTTTGACTGCACATATCCAATTACATAGACCTATATATATAATAGATAGACACACGATGCCACACAGTCGGGCACCCTCACTCTAAAAGGCACTTTGGACTCATACCTGGGCCCATACCAACATGTACCAACTTCTCAAAAACATTCTACAAACTACACACGAGCTACAAACATAGCCCATCCGGGTAAGGAAAGGAACCGTTCAAATTGGATCTTGAATATGTCCTCCCAAGTTGGCCCAAGTCCCCATAGTTTTTCTAGCTTTCCATTTGCTTTCTATCCTCTCCATGTCTGACCCAGCTCCCATCCCTCCACTAATCCCCCATCCCAGGCGCGGGGAATGGACGTGGCCCGAGCAAATTGCCCCGGAACCTCAGCAGCGTCAGCCAGTCGAGTCGATGGGCTTTTTTCGAGTCGATGGGACCCACCCAGGACCCGCTTTCGGGTCGGTTTTTGGGGTCGATGATATGGAACTTCTTGAGTCGGGCAATAATACAGGGGGAGAGAATACCACAGGAGGTGCTGGTGGCGGGCCATTGGAGAAGCGACATGACATGGACATGGGGTGCAAAAAGTGCGTCAAGCACTCCATGCTCATCACATTCACAATTGGAGCTCATTTTGGGGCTCCTGCCGCCCAATCAACAGCTTCAGTAGTCAGCATATGTGCCCCCCCCCTCTCCGAGTGCAACTCTGCATTGTGCATTCAAGCAAAGATCTGAGATCTTATGCACCCCGCCACCTAGTTTCTCCAGTTCGCTGCTGCCCTTTTTTTTCGGGGCTCGGGCTTGGACATGTTTGCAAGAAAAGAAGACTGAAGGAGCACACAAGAACAAAGCACAGAAAACAACGCCACTCAAGATCACTTCATCAATCTCTGTCCAAGCTGCGGCCTTGGCACCATCGCCCCCCTCTGCACGGTTCGGGCTCTGGAAGGGGCCCGCCAAGCTGCCATAGCGCATGTCGAACTCCTGGCCCGGCCACCGAACTGAGCCAGTCGAATTCGTGTGAACTCTTCCAGGGGCAAACCACCTGGAATCCTCCTGGAAGTGGAGTTTGCTGCTTTGCCATGCCATGAAGTTCACAAAAAATGGACATGGAGTTCACACCTGGAATCCTCCGGAGGAAAATGGATCATCTTTTCAAGGCCATGCCATCCACAATGATCCCAGAATCATTCCATGGAGTGTAAGGACCAACAGCTTTGCCCCTGTCACCAGTCATGTTTCGTTGCATCCCACTGATCGGTTCCTCTTACCGTTTAGGTTTGGTAAGAAGGTGAACGTGTGAACATCTGCCCTCCCATAACGATTACATATTTCAACTCAACCTGCAACATCATTCATTCATACTCCCAAAACAAAAACGCACATCTGAACTTCAACATGGACAACACATATCGTCTCTTGGCACGAAACAATCACAGAGTCCCTCAAACAAAGGACTACAAAGGGTAGAAGCTGGCGGAGCTCATTGAAATTGCATCTTTTTTTCCCCATCCGTCTTCACCCATCTTCTCTTGGGCTCTCCATCCATTCACCCATCCTTCGGCTCTCCATCTCTCCATCGTCCCGCAGCTGCATGAGAACACTCCGCCCCCGACTCCAGATTCGATCGGCACCGAGATCGATCGGACTTTTGCAGCTTGAGGCTCCGTCCCCTCATAGTGCGTCCGGAACCAGTTCATCACATCCTTGCCATCAAGAAAGAAAGACACACACCAAAGCTGGAGCGGAGCTGGAGCGGAGTCTGTCGTGCTAGCAAGCAAGTCTGTAAGTCTGTATGCACATCCGCCGAGCTAGGAGATGCATCTGGTGAAAGAGCGGGCTGCGGCCGGTCAATTCATCACCCAGAATTAGATCCGCACTCTCCTCATCAAACCCGAGCCGTTTGTGGATGAAGCATGGGAGCACTGAACCAGCTTATCATCTGCAAGGTGAACATTCTTGATCAACCAAGCCACCAAAATGGAGACCTTCCCATCCACGGGCACAGAAAACGGGAAGCTGCCCCTCAGCGAAGAAGTGCGTCGCGTCCCACGTCATGGCTCTCCGTGTTTTCTCGTTCTGCGCGACGATTTAAAATAATGGCTGGTCACCCTTTAGTCGACTCATGGGGGAAGTCCTTTCACAAAGCGAAACTGCCTACTAGGGATTGCAGTAAGTGCTCAAGTCCAAGCACTCCACAGCAATTTTGCGACCTTTTTGCCAAAAAATAAGGCTTCTGGATGCTTCTGGTCTGAACATGTCTGAACATTCCGCATATATGTTCAACATTGTTCAACACCTGCTGGATGTCTCACCCCGGCTGCTCGCACGTGACTGGTTTCACTGGATGCGTAATTTCTTCTTCTTCGATTCATGATGGATGATGACCAGCCTTTGATCTAGACTGCAGCAATACAAACCTGGTTCGCCCAGCTTCTTGAAGCTATCCAGGCCACCCCTTCATCTGTCCTGTGCCGATCAAACCCAACTGGAAATGACAACCCGCCTCACCCTGGCCACATTTCTTCACTTTTGTGATAGGCCCAACTCCCGATCCACAAGTCGCCAAGGCACAAATCCTTCGTTGCTCGGATCTTCGCGCTGGGTGCCGCTTGCCGGTAAACGCCCCACATGCCTTAGGCATTGAGGTGCCAAAAAACATAAACAAACAACAATAGAAGGCCATCTGGAGACCCCCAACCACTATAGGTCAAAGGGTCCAGCAACCGAACGTACAACGAGCCGCCGTTCGACCATGCGCTGCCCGAGGCACGCAAGGTGGAGTACATGGGGATGGGCGCCAGGCCAGGAAAGTAGCCTCAAACGGGTCGCCGGCCGCCCGGTGTTGTTGCCAGACGAAGAAGCCATTGAGAAATTCTGCTGGATCATCTGCAAACATGGAGGGAAAAGGGGTGGGTTGAGCACACCAAAGTTTTCCTGACTTTGATCTGTTGAATTAATGGCCCGGGGCTTCAAACATGTTCAAACATGTTCATTCATTGTCACTTTGTGTGTGATTGTGTGTGTATGCTTGATTGTGTTTATAGTTCCGCTTGCCCATTGTCGCAAACAACGTCCATCACCAACATACAACTAACCAACATGCATAGAGATGTCACAACATGGGGTTTTCCCGCAGTCAAGTGCGGAGTGATGTCAATTTACATTGATATTGCGTAAGGTTATGGCAAAAGTCCGCCACACTTGTGTAGGATTGAGTTGTCAAAACTACCCCATCTGTTTCTGCAACAACTTTCACCAACACCCCAGATTGCATGAATCATCATGGTCATGAAGCCACAAGAACAAAACACATTGAATCAAAGGCTCCTTGAAGTTGGGACTTGAATAAACGTGACCCTGTGCAAATCAAGTCCCCTCAAAGGAAACCACCTACCAATATCTCCGAGAGGGTCACACAAACCGATCCTACGAGTACCTACTATATACATACCACTCCTGAAACACTCCCGGGCCACAAAAAGAACGTTCCACCTCCCGGGCCACCACCGATGGACGGACCGGATCTGTCGACAGCTTCGGCCTTCATCGAGCCGACGAAGCGGTGAAGCGGTGAAGCAGTGCATGAACCGATATAGGTCACTCACGGTTGACCTCACCCGACTCACCCAGATGACCCGACTCACCACACTCACCAAGTGCCGAAGTGCTGAAGGTCTCCATGTTTGGCGACACCGCCTTTTGCCAATCCAACTGCCCTCTGCCATTCCACAGCTTCGCTTCCTTTCTGCAGAAATGCATTCAAGTGCAAAAACAGCCCAACGGAATCTCAACCTGGAGTTCCAGGCTTTGGTGCCTTTGCGCGGATTTTGCCTGCCTACTGTCCATCTCAATCACAGGGTCCGCTGCACCATCCGTCTATTTTATCAGTCTGAGTCCTGCTATATTGGATCCTCCTCTTCGATTAGTAACTGTGGCGGGAGTATCCTGAAAATTGCCATTGAACCGCCGGATCGGTTCTTTGAATTCCAACGCACGGCGGTTGCATGGAAACAACAATGGACAAATACGTTCATTCATTGATATGCGGAGAAACAACAGCAACAACCACTTCAACAGCTCTAATTACTGAATAATCCCATCCCATTACGCGCATTGTCTCGCATGGTGCTGGGAAGTCCTCAGGACTCCCGAGCGACCGGTCCGCTTGTTGCCGCCGCAGGTCCTGCAGAAGATCCTTCAAGCCTGGGTGGAGCATGAAGTTCTCCTTATCCTCAAAGTCAATCTGCCGGATGATCATGCCTCAAGAAGCACCACCAAAGACGCCATGGAGACGCCCAAGCGAGACGCCCCAGAGTTGCGCAGCCCCTTGCTCGTGGGGTCCCCACATCCCGGCGAAATCAAGCATATTGAGTCATTGAACGGGTCCTGGATAGGTACTCCTTTGATGTTTTTCATTGTTTTCTACCTTTGTATTGGATGATTAGCCAAGCCCTCCAACTACAAGTACTGTCGGCCGAAGCGGCTGTTGGCCACCACCGCCACATGTCCGCTGGGCACCCGCTGCGCGGCCCAAAGCGCTCCACGCTGAGTGGCCCAGGAGGCGTTCTTCTCGCTGCTGGGCACGCCTGTCGGAGACCCGAAAAACCCGATCCAAATGAGTTAGGCAGTCGATGTTCCGACCGAAAGCGGGGAGTGGTATCATGGAAATTGTTCGATCTTCTTCAAGTCGAGTGAGGTGCTGGTAAAGAAACTAAATGCAATGACGAATTCCTGCATGCGATGACTGCAAAGCCCCAAGCAATATTACCTAACTATAACTAACTCTTTTTCCACCCAAACAGGGATGCAAAAGTTCAAACCTTCTCCGTCTCCCCCCACCACTCACTGTCCTCCTCTCACTCATCCCACCCGCCCAAACCCGGACCGTCCCCACTCGCCTCCACAGATGTGGAAGACCCAGGCCTCGCCGCTCTGGTCCACCAGTGTCACCGCCTCGCCAGCGCCGCCCATGCCCGGGTCCTCGCCGTAGAAGCCGTAAAAGGCGCCCAGGTCGCCCATCGTCTGGATCCTGGGGAGAGCTCTGCCACGGGTCAGAGGCTCTGCCGCCAGGTGCATAAGCAACTGCAGGCCACATGGTGGCCACTGGGATCACTTGGACATTTGAAAGGGAGGGGCGGAGGGGCACGCAATGTCAAGAATCCTGGTGAACGGGTGGTGACATCCTCCAAACAAGCTTGTGCCTGTTGGCACAAGTCTGGTGGTAGAGAGACAAGTAGCAACAGTAAGAGGTATACCTTCCCAGTAGTCTCGCCGCATATCACAAACGTGTTGCACCTGGATTGCACACAAGGTCTCAAAGGATCTCAAAGGCCCAGGGTCGAGCCTCACAACTTCATGAAGCGTATAAGCATATTAAGATGAATACTTTAAGCCCACTATATATGCCCATGGAGATCAACCCACACTCTCCCCACGTCCCACGTCCCCATCCGAAGTCGCAGCCCCTTCCACCAGGCCACGCGCAGCGTGCGGTCTTGCATCGCTCCAGGGCGATGGCCATCAAGTTGCCGATGCTGAACAGCGCCGTGCCGCCCTGGGAGAGGCCTCAACGCGGAACCGTGGAACCGCTGGAAGCGGCGGAACCCGTGGAACTGGGAGCAGCTGGAGGAGCTGGAGGCCCTTGGAATGGGTTCCCCAAAGGCAGGAGGGAATGTCCGTGTGGGAGATGTCTGGCCGAGTTTTCCCGTGGCTTCGCGGCTTCGCACGATGCACATGGCATGATCTCTTCCCACCTTCTCACCCTGATCGGCCATGTGAACGGCCAAGCCCGGCCAAGTGGCCTGTCCCGACCAGAAAAGCGGAACAGGTGGACTCGCCCATGCCTACGCCGTGCCTTGGCAGCAGCTTTGGAGCAGCATTCAGTTGAGCAAATGGTTGTGGTATGCTTCCTTTCTACCTGGGTATAACTTTTTCAGTTTGAGACAAACAACGCCACCTTCAATGCAAAATAGTTTTGAAGAACACTACCGCGGTGTTGGTCTACATTGGTTGGTTGAAAGCCACCGTTTTAAGACTAATATGCAAAAAGAAATCAAAAAGACAGGACAGTGGAGTTCTTCCTCACACAATCCAAAAAGCCAAGGTGAATCCAGGCAAATGGTCTATACAACTCGTGGTCCTTGCTCTTGGTGTGTTATGTTCTTTTCTGTTTTTTTAATCCACACATTTGGGGTGTCAAGTGGCTCGTTCATGAGGCCATAGCTGGCCTCCCAAAGCGCATAGGTATGTTTCACCTGCGGCTTTCGCAGTCTTGGTCCAGAATTCTCGATTCTCATGGAACACCATACAAAAGTCAAAGGACCGGTTAACGAAAGATACATTTATACTTGAAATGTTTTGATATGTTTTGTCATGTTCACCGTGTTCACCTTCACAGACATGATCTGTTGTGTATCAAACAGTTTATATAGGATGCCCGAGGATTTCATGTGTAGCCCAACCGCTCATAGCAACGCGACATTTCCTTAAATTTCACCATTTAAAGCAGTACACGAAATGCAACTGGCGCAAAGCAAGTAGGGGCTGAACATCAAATGGAGGTTTGACGCAGTGGAGCGCAAAGTGGATCTGGATGGGTGTGGAAATGGCGCCACAAACCCTGCAAAAGCAACATATCTCAACGCGTCAATGCCATCTGCTTTGCAGCTAGACTAAAATGATTGACTTTCTGACAAGCCCGCAGCCCACAGTCAGTCGTTCTTGGAATTTTGTGCAAATTTCAGAGCAACTTCTGACTGGTGGCAGGCAGAAGTCGAGGTGTGGGGAAACAAATTGTGCGTATCTGCACATAACTACACAATCTTCAAGAGCAACGGGGGGTCTTTGCAGCAGAACCTGATGACAACGGATCATGACATCTGTCGCTGCGAATTCGAAACAGAAGCAAACAAATCTAAAAAAGTGTGTATAATATATATATATATGATGAACGGTATCGCCACGTATCACCGATTGCCTCCGATTGACACCCGTATAATTTGTGACATATACCTGGAACCTCCGGGGTTGCGTTTTTTTTAGTCCTCGCCCTGAAAGAGGAAAAGTTAAGTCCCTGGATCCCAAAAGAGTCGCTGCAAGACAAAAGAGTCTCTGCAAAAACAAAAGAGTCCTTGGAGGAAACTGTGGCTCAAGCGCCGCTCAGACAGAACCAACAAAAGTTCACATCTTCCTCCTCCAGTGCGCCGCATTTGGTGGAATATCATTCATTTGAAGTCCCCCCCCCAAAAAAAGAGAGACTAGCAGCATCATTTTCTGCCAATCTTGATGGTCGCAGATCGATGGTGTCCGGCAACCCAGATCGAGCCTTGACCGTTCGAAAGGATTGAATCATGCTTAAGACACAAGCATGTCCAGTGTTGCTGTTGAAAGCAGGCCAGGCTTTGGAAAACAAGGTTCACTTCCTAAAGTTGGCTCGACCCTTTGCCTTTGAAAGGACATTTCCTTTCTTGACTGCACGCCACCTTCTATGCAAAAGCTTTGACTTTGTGAGGTAGAGATGCAAGCACCTTTGCACCGGCATTTGTTGGCCTACGCGCCGCATCAGGCGGGACAATCGGCCAACCATATCCTCATTGGTGTCTACACTAAATGCCCCGGGGTTCAATACCCTCTTGACCCTTGGGTCCTGAAGGCTTTGGAAAACCTCGAATTTTGTGTGGCACAAAAGGTGAAACTTTGGTTTGAGGCTGAACAAAGTATACTTCCAGTTGTATAAGCTGTCAAACGCTAAGTAGTTGTATGATTTGAGAAAGGCATGTACGTGCTGATACAGCGTAGCAGCACACCCGCGGGTGAGCCAGAGGTGATGCGAGTAGATTATCTTCTGCCACCCCTGAACGGACTTGGCAGCAGAGAGTATCCTTTCAAGGGCAGGTTTGTGAGCTGGGTCCCGAAGATCTGCCAAAAGACTGCCTGCCAGGACTCGAATCCACGCGACAAGGTGAACTGTGTCGGAGGCCTTTGCGTTGATCCAAGGATAGCTTGCGTGGGTGGGATAGTTCAGAAATGCTTTGCTGAACCCATGCAAAGCAGGCGTTCGGCCACAGGTCTTGCAAAACCACACAAAATGATGGTACGAACGATCGAGGAGAGCTGCCATAGAGTTGTCTGTTGTTTCACTGAAGTACCCCCATCTGCAAATCAAAACTATGCAGCTGCCAACGAAGTCCCGGAGGACTCCAATTTTGCTGCAATGAAAGAGATCGCGTCTAAGGATTCTTTCAGGGGCTTCTTTGTCGAAAGGGACTGTCACGAAGGATGGTACATTGTCCTCTGAGTAGGGTCGTGTTGTAAACACGCTGTTAGCCCAGCACGGGACATGATTCGAATCTTCCATGTCCTGACCGGATTCTCCTGCGCCACACTCGTGACACATCCCCAAGTCAACCCCCTGATGACGATTGAAGCAACGGGTCAGCTTGAACTTCTCAAACCACTTCAGATCTCCCTTGTATCCCACCAGGGAGGCGTACCACTTTCCTGAAGGCAAGTCGATGCCGGTGTGGAATAGCTGGTAGAACTCATTGGCAAACTTTTCGAAGAAAATCTCCAACAGATTGGTACCCTTGAAGTAGGTATGGGGAAGAATAGTCACCACAAACTTCGTGAGGAAGGCATGTTGTTTCATGTTTGTGCGCTGCTGGTCGCACATGTTTCCATCATCTCCTTGGCCTGCACTATGGGGACAGAACGTGGGTGATATACCAAAGTACCTGGCATAGGCCTCATCTAGATTGCATTGGTCATCAGGAGATGCATGAACCTTTTCACAAGGACTTCCACCAATGCTTAGGACACTTTCAATGGTCATAAGGGCAGTGTTCCCTTTCCGCAATCCGCGTCCCTCGTCGCCGTGAAAGGCAAAGACCAGGGTGTTGTTGAACTTCCTATCACTGGACTCTTCCTGGTACATTGCATGTGATGGGTGCATGGCCTTGTAAGCTTCCCAAAAGCTTTCAAGATTGCGTCGGCCCATCTCAATAGAATCGAAGCCACCCCAAACCAACTCAGGGGTTTTCTCCAAGAGGTGGCGTACAAAAGTTTGTGGGCTCAGGTACGGGACCTTCAGGTGCTCACCATCAGCAGTGGTGTGGTCAAGGTATGACATGTCCACATTCCATGCCAAACTCCACCTTTTGATGAAGCGATGCGCGGCCCTGCACGCATTCTTGCCATCAGCCGGAGGCTTGCAGCCAGCATCACCGACCTCCTCCCGAGCCAGAGCGGCAAAGTGCCGCAGTGTTGATGCCGGGGCCTAGGTCGGCACCAGGAGGTCAAGAGGAGGAGACCGTGAGGGATCTTATCAACTGAGATGAGGACCCCATCCGACAAAACTTCTGCATAATTCCATGTTGTCTCACCCGGACTTGGTTGGTGACCTGGCGCAAGTGCAACCCAACAAACCCACACTACCACTGTTTGGGCTTGCGCAAAATTCACATGCGGCCCCGTTTTTTTCCCATTGTTATTGTTTGCACGGAAAGATGCAATGCATGTTCATCACGCATTGCCAAACATGGCCTGGGCTTGGCTACCCCCCACAATAGAGAACACAGGGTGCCTTCTGAACAGGTGCACACAAATTTTAACTATCAGGAGACGCAAGTAGAAAACCGCCAATCCACTAGGGCCACAAAAAGCTCGTGTGCGAAATCGCACATCACCCAAATCCAAACTCAAGAGCATTTGGGCTTGGAAGGAGTTTCCTTCTCAGCCTTAGTCTTTCTTCTCAGTCTTAGTCTTTACCTTCGTAGATTTCACTTTGGCCTTGGCTTTGCCCTTTGCTTTGGCCTTGGCCGCAGTTTCCGCCTCCTGCTTTGGGATGAACGGCCTGGAAAGGAATTGAATGTTTTCGTGGCCCGACCAAAAGAATCGCGCAGAATGAGCCAGGCAGAACAAACAACCCGCCTGACCCTGGACTCCAAAGAAATGCATTCCGCGACCCTGCGCGCCAATCAGAGATTCAATCAACGGGCGCGTTGGCGCACAGCAGATCACTGAGGCACAAACATCTTCGAGACATCATCAAGCTTGGAACGTAGATTGGATTCAACCCTCAGTCACGGTATCAGCTGCAGAGTGTTAAGAAGACGAACCATAATCGATTGTTTCACTAAAGGTTACGTTTGATTCTCGAACATTTTTTGTGTTATAACTCAACCCTTTTGTTTTGAAGCGCGGTGGAGGTACTCTTTGGTATATCCAGTCACAAGGCCCTGAGCATACATAGTGGAAATCTCATCATGAGCTCTCTCCATCTTCTTGACGGAGTTTTTCAAAGCATCTGAAAGCCTAGGTGCAACCTAGGTGCAATATGGAAAAGCAGCATGTTTGAAGAAGTGTGTTGGTAATCAACCAAAGAACCTGCTCTGTGTGTCGGAGAGTTTTGGCACATCAAACTTGTCAGCCACAGCTGAGGCCTTGTATGTCCGCTTGGCCAAGGCTATCCTTGGAGGCCACGCGGCTCGGGAGACGGAGCTTCAGGTTGGAAGAGGAAAGCATCCAAGTGTATCCAAATTACAAATACTTGTTGACGCTTGCGCTCGGAAGGGCATCTGGGTCAATCTCAGGCAGCCCAGCCAGCTTGCGAACCTTGTTGTTGGAGTCGTCGTTTCCATCTAGTGGAATCTCGCTGGGGCCTGTCACAACCAAGGCTAGTGGTGTTTTAATTACCAGCTCCAACGGTAGAACTCAAAAAGGCAGAGCCTTCATCTAATCGTTCGAGACGATCATCAGAGGGAAGATCGATGTCCATAGCAGACATCCCACCAGTCTCATCCATCTTCACACGTCTATTGATTTCCACACGGGACTTCTTCCTGGGCGGAACTGGCAAAATTATGATTAGGTTCTTCCTCCAAAGAAACATTTGGCATAAAGCACGCACACATACACACGGCTGGACACCCCCTTGTGCAAAGGCAACCTAGTGGCCGCATGGTAGCCCGAATGCTGCGCTCAACATAGTACAGTAAGATCTTTTGATATGTGTCTCGCCTGTGAGGCACCCGCTACAACTACATTTGCAAGTGTGACTGCAACCACAATTTGTTATTTCAAAACACGGGTTTGCCTCATCAGCTTACCAGGTTGTGTCGCACAGTGAGCCTTGATCGCCTCGATCCGCTGCCTTGGCAAGGCTGTGACACGGCTACATCTTTGACACCTGCCCTTCAGATAGAGCACGGGCACCTAGAGAACAGGACATAATTAGGTGGGTCATGCCACACTGGTC